CCCGGCCCCACACCGGCTGGGGAGAGCCAGACACGTCCCGGCAGGGGTGGAATTGGCTCTGCAGGTGGTTGGCATAGAAACCATGAAAGGCTGCAATACATCACTCCCCTTTTTTTTTTCCCCTCTTCCCTCTACACCCGTTTCTGTAGTAACACTTTTTCCACCTTTTTTTTTTCCTGAATCACTATGAAATATTTACACTCCCTCTCCCACGGCTCCCTCGCCGAAACGTCCCTGCCTGTGTGCAGAGATACGTGGCTACCAAATCCCTTCCCGTGGCCACCGTGTCCCTCGTGGCCCCCCCCGCCCCTCGGGGCCCTCGTGGCCCCTCCAGCCCCTCGGTGCTGGGCTCAGTGGGGCTGACTCACACCAAAGCTGGTAATTAAGCTGCCAATCGAGTGGCTGAAGCTGCTTTTTTTTTCATGAGTTTGCTGTAAATCACGAAGCAAATTCTCTGGGTACGTAGGAGAAATCAAATCAGAGTGGGGCCTCGTGAACCAGAGTGAGATCACTGAGGAATTAGGGATGAAAGACGTGGCTGGGCTAAAAATAATACAGGGTACGGTCATTTGTTTGCCTTGCAAATAAAGGCCTTATTATTAAAGTGGAAATAATTGCAGATATAATTTACTTTTCACCAGTCCCGCTGCTCTTTGTTTCTGAGGTGGTTTCTTTTTGTCAGTTGGCTGGTTTTAAGTTGTGCCAGGTGCCCTCGTGCAGGGTCCTGGGCCCAAACCCTCAGCAAAGTTCCCAGCTCTGTGCTGAGCTTCTCTGGTTCCTCGAGTGCTTTAGAAGATTCTGCCTTGAGATGTTCACCTTTTTTGGGAGCCCACTTCTCTTTCCTGTGTAACAACCTGGCAGCAGACCCTGTCCTGCCATCCTTACAACAGCAGGAAACCAAATCCTGAGCCTGGAACTGCAGCCGAATCCAAACCTAAAATTAGCTGCCAATTAAAACTCGCCGAAACATTTACTGAGCTGAGATTTATCTTTGTTTTAAATTCTGGGTCTGTTTTCATAAGCATGTTGACTGCTGAAACGGATCCCAGGCCCCAAGATCCTCCTCTCCTCCTCCCTAGCAGTTAGGAGGATTTTTCAGATGGTTTTCTTTCTGTTTCCAGGGTGAACCCCTCGCCGTGAGCCCCAGGGCGGGTGGGTTTGTGCTGGTGGCATCGCCGTGGGAGGGGGATTTGCCCAGGAGGGAGCTGGGGGAGGTGGGTGTCGGGCTGCCCAGGGGGGCACGTGGTGCAGGGCAGCTCCCTCACCCAGCTCATTTCTCTCTCTTTTCCCATTTCTGCCCCCCAGGTCGGACAAAACCCTGCAGGACATCGTGTACAAGCTGGTCCCGGGGCTTTTCAAAGGTACAGCCCTCCTGGTTGTGTGGGTCAGGGGTGGTTTGCA